TGAAAATATTGAAAATCGCTCAGGCAGATCGATTTTAATTTGGCTCACATTTTTCTGTAATTATCACATCCTGAAGTTGAAACCGTGAAGCGGAACGGGCACCAACTTTCGATTTTCAAATGGAACACCCTGTATTTAATTGCATCTTTAGATTCTCTCTGATGAGCTGATGTCATCGATATATCACACTTGGTGTCTAGCGGGAATGATTACAGAGATATAGGTTGTGCAAAATCGAGAGTGTCGAAACTATTCATTATCGGTCAAAACGACTTCCATGCTCCTTCTGGATTTACTATCTACTTATCTACTGACATTTAATTGGAACAGATACAGGGTGATCAGAATACCGAATCTTGACCCACTAGTTATGTTATGTGTATACTATTTTCATAATTTCTTGACTAGTTTTCTTGGGGAAATTTCTACTTTGCCAATCGAGTATAATCACAAGTTGTTGGATGAATGATCTTGTTACGGTGTTCATGCGGTGAACGATGAAAAGAAGAACAGCTTTTATAATTAATTGAATCGAAGTGTTACATCCTTGTATCGATTAGAACAAGTCAGGTATTTGCTAATCACTCGTTTTTAGCTGATAGTTTGTGACGCAAATGGAATGTGTATTAGGGAAGAATTAGATTCGTTGTGAGAAATCGGAATGACATAACTAAGTGAATAACAAATCAATGTACAGGGTGATTTATAATGAATTGTATACAAGGAGGGATGGTGGAATGATATACTTGAAAAACTCTAATTATCCATTATACAGGGTGTTTCGAAATTCGACCGACAACGCTTGACAGGTGATAGCCCACGTGATTTCATAATCACTGAGATAGGGACATACGGTCTTCAAATGTTCAGTTCTCGAGATACAGGGCGTTAAAGTTAAGAAATTGAAATAGTTTTTTCGCAATAGCTCAAGAAAAATTGAATATAATGCATTGAAATTCGGTATATGGTTTCATCTTTCAATGGTTAATTTTTTGACCAGAGAGACATTCCGAGAATTTTATCCAGAGGTGCGCTACAGAGGGTTGTGATAACTTTTCTGCACATATTTTCTACGCCACTGAGGAAATTTCGATTATTTCCAATTTCTCGAATTGATTGTTCAATTATATTGAAAAAATGCATCACCTTCGAATGAGCTAAAATGAACAGTTATCGAGATATTTGACTCAAAATAGAAGTTTGCATAGTAATTTTTCATCTTCCTCGGTAGTAGAAAATAACAAAAATGTTTGTTTTCTCTTTATGCGTGGAATAACTATTTTTGTTCAGCTTCAGAATGAGATCTGAATAGTATCTAATCTACTCAACACCAGGAAAATATTTTTGCAATTTTCTACTACTGAAAATGATGAAATATTACTATGCAATCTTCTATTTTGGGTCGAATATCTCGAAAACTGTTCATTTCAGCTCAGTTGAAGGTGATGCATTTTCTGAACAAAATTGAACAATGAATTCGAGGAATTGGAAATAATCGAAATTTAATCAGTGGCGTAGAAAATATGTGCAGAAAAGTTATCACAACCCTCTGTAGCGCACCTCTGGATAAAATTCTCGGAATGTCTTTCTGGTCAAAAAATTAACCATTGAAAGATGAAACCATATACCGAATTTCAATGCATTATATTCAATTTTTCTTGAGCTATTGCGAAAAAACTATTTCAATTTCTTAACTTTAACGCCCTGTATCTCGAGAACTGAACATTTGAAGACCGTATGTCCCTATCTCAGTGATTATGAAATCACGTGGGCTATCACCTGTCAAACGTTGTCGGTCGAATTTCGAAACACCCTGTATAGTCAAATTCTTCTTCTAAGAATATATTTTTCTCTATTTCGCGGACACCCTATGAAAAATGATGGCACTGACATGGAAAACATTGAGAGGTTCCAGGGAATTGAAAGAAATCCTAAAAAATTATTATGATAAGATAATATCTGAAATGAAAATCACAAAGTTTCTGAGAAGTTCATGGGAAATATCAGCTTATGAGTGTTAAAAACAGAGGTAACCAATACGTTACATTATTTGCCAGTATTACTATCATTACCATCATTACTATTATTATGATTATTTATATATATGTTGTGTGATTCACTACCATCACCCCGTAATATGTTCTGAACATCATCGGGTGCTGGTTTTATGACAGTAATTGAATGTATAAATTACATAAACTAAATAAGATAGGGAATAGGAAGAATGACCAGTATAGTTAAAACTAATTGATATACTTAGTATTTGAAGAATTGGAAAAAATTGGATAGAAAGTTTCCCAGTGCTTCTTTAACATTAAGTATATGGTAAATTTCGGAAATTATTAATATTTACTAGGAAATCACAGAGAGATTAGACATTCTTAGGTATTCATGGAAAATTTTGAAAAACTACATGATTTTCAAGGCGTAATTTTCCAATAAGTGTTGAATTCCGGATTCAACAAGTAATTTCGAAGTCGACTGCTCATTTTGTGATGATTCAACAACGTCCTACCCTGTCATTCACTTTTTATCCGAACGCACAACCAAATCCCCATTTGTTATTGTTTACACGACTTGGGCAGGTCCGGTCCTGTCCGTAGCGAGCGTTCTCTACGCTCGGTTCAAGGCCTCCCGTCTACCTTGGTCGGAGTCAATGACACGTGCGTGCATCGCTTGTCGCTCGGCGCGGGTTGGCTGTGGCCGTCCGGCGCCGGGCAGGCACGCCCGGTGCGACGTTGCCGATGCCACTTGAAGTCGGTAGATCTACCGAAATCAGCAACGTAGACAGGGTGTTCGGTTTACCGACGAATATCTGGAAAGAGGTGATGAGTAAGAACATTTCGCACATATTCAACCATATTATATACTATTATACAAAGTGTTACGAATTTCGAGATATCATCGTTTTGTCAAGAATTATATCAGACTGTATCTTTCTTCTTGAAGAGTTGAATACGGATTTCATCGATATTCAACACGTAATGGGATCTCCAGTGGGATATAAATGTTATAAAAAACTGTTTTGGCTCGTTAGAATAAAAAAAAATGGATTTTTTGTAACATCTTGTTTCGAATTCATAAGTGATGATTTCTCGAAAAGTGGAACTCTTCGTATAATAGTAGATCCAAATCATGTTTTTTACCACCTCCCTCCAGATATACGTTGGTGAACCAATACAATTCGTTTGCATTCTTTTGAACGGAGATGAAAGCATTGCTTTCTGTAAAGTTGATGTCACTATCCTCCCTGGGAACGCACGATGTTCTGTGAACCTTATAGGGATTTCCTTTCGTGCGCTCCAAGCGATAAAAAAAATTCAAGATTAATTAATGAAATCCAACTGTACCTCTTATGCCAATTTCAACGTCTGTCACTAAGAAGAGTCACACTGATATCTCAAGACAATTTGAAAAAACACTATTTTCTATTTTAATGTTGAAAACGGGAGCAGATTCGTTCCCGATGCGTCCAAAGATTTTTGAAGAATTCATATGTTTTCAGTATATCTATAGTTCTCGTCTTCAAAATTTTTTTCATAACTAAGTGTCACTGACAAACGATTGAATTTTTGTTATCATAAACTTTGCTCTAAATCCATGTGTGGATAACTCCTGAAACAAAGAAACATTGAATCATCTCCTGAAATTGATCCTTCTCAGTCTTCCCATTTTAGTATCCTCTAGTTCGAATAATATGTGAAAATTTTTGGTGTTTTTGAAGTGATAACTCCTAATACTTCTATTGGCCCGTTGGGCACTTTCTGAGGATGGGAGTAAAACGACAAACTCGCGTCACGGAACCGGAGTGACAGTCATAATCTCGAGTGAATACCATAGATGTCATCACTTCCGACGTGTTTATTGCATTCTAATTCACTGTCTAGGAAATTTTCCACTTGAATATGTCTAAAAATTACACTTTTGCGTAAATCATATTCGATCTGGCAACACTGTCGCGACGTGCACTTTCCCCCTCTCTCTTTTTTCTCTCGCTCTGGCTTCGTGAGGTAGCGGCGGTCGCCAGAGTGACGTCTGTGTGGTGTGTATTATACACCGGTTCCCCCCTCCTCCTTTCCCTCCATTACATGCCATCTGACTAGTCGGTATGTTTTGGATTTCATCGTGACAGGTCGCGCCACCTGACGGCAAGCTTCCGAAGGTGGGGTAGGTGTAGGCACATAACAGAAATACCGCCGTAAGCGTATCTCTTTTCTGTGGTGTAGGAATGTGTTCGTGTTGTAGAGTGGCGCGCTCTGGCGGAGAAAGCAGACACTTGTGTTGTGGTTTATGCTGGTCAACAGATGACCGGTTCGGGATCTCCTGAAAAAAGAATCGAAAATTACCAAACTATTCGATCTAGCATTAAAACAATAATCAGAATTGATTGATTGACTCTATTTCCCCAAGAAACATTTTTGTTTATGATAAAAAAATGTAATTGAAGCCTACCTAATGAATTCCAAGGTTGACAATGTCGTTCGTGGTCTTGTATTTCTGTAAACCCTAGGCATTACGCTGTTGCCAGTGCCACAAAATAATTTCGGATTGAATGAAATCTCGATCATTATTAGGAAGTAATCAATAAGTAATTATTAATGACCAAGTCGAACTATTGTCTTCTGTGATTGTGAATACTATTGTCATTGGTCATATTGAATCCTATCAGGTCATTTTACATTAGATCTTGTCAGTGTTTTTTGCACCCTCATTCCGAAGCGAATGGACCAAGTCTGAAACTTTTTTACGTAGAACGATCGCGATGTGTATACCCTTCAAAATGAGGTGCCTCAAGATAGGGATCCGTTCGATTTCCTGTAGCTCGGATAGCTGGAAGAGCAAACAAGCTAATTTTCTCCCTAAGCTCCATAGAATCGCCCAATTGTATTCGAAAAATCATTTCACACTGCCTATACAAAATCTCTCAGAAAAATCATCACCTTGCTCGTATCGATTCACGGACACTATCTGCCATTGATCCCCTCTAGTTTCCTTTGCAGCCGCACCTCCAACAGCCGACAGCCCTCCCCAGCCGAAGAGGAACTCAGCAAAAATGGCATGGCCGCCTTGGACCCTTCCGCCGCTCTGGCCGTCCTCAAGCAGCAACAGCACCACCAGCAACACCAACAGCAGCAGCAGCAGCAAGAGCAGCAGATGCAGCACCACCACCAGCTGCACCAGATGCAGCAGCACCATTTGGCGCCGCATCTGGGGGTGACGTTGGCAGAATCGGTGAATCAGCAGTTCGAGCATTTCGTCGGGGAGCAGCAGCAGCAGCAGGGGGGCAGTATTTATGAGCAGCATCAGCAGTACGCGCCGCAGCCGCACCAGGTGGATAGCGCGGTGTTGCAGCAGCAGCAGCACAATTTCGATGTACAGGTGAGTGGTTTTCTGAGGGGGATGTTGGTGTGGGGTTATATATCAAAGAGGCTCAGCCCTTTATAGACCGGCAGGTAGTTGAAGTATGGCTTTTTGGAGGTTTTCATCTAGATACATATACAGAGGACTGTAACTTTCGAAGTATTCGAAATAGTGTTTTGAAAATTGATGGGCAGCTAGTATACCAAATTGCTTATCAATTGACGGAACAATTCTCGTTCTATCACTCTCGGTTTTATTGGGAACGACCCCAACTTTTGATTTTTAAATGGGACACCCTGTATTGTATTCCATAATCTGTTAGGGATAGGCATAACAAATTCATCGATACCGGGTTTGATAGGGTTATTTCAAACTTTCAGGAAGATATTCGCGTTCTAAATTTCCATATGCTCAATGAGTCTGACAGAGAAAGAAGTTTTGATATTGCGAAGTCACACCCATTGAACATATGGAAACTTCGAACGCAAATAAATATCTTTGTAATCGTTTGAAATAACCCTATCAAACCCGGTTTCGTTGAATTCGTCATGATAATCCCTAACCGATTATGGAATGCAATACAGGGTGTCTCATTTAAAAATCAAAAGTTGGAGTCGTTTCCGGTGAAACAGGAAGTGATGGAAGAAAAATTGTTGTTTCATCAATTAATGAGCAATGTGGTATACTTGCTACCCACAAATTTTCAAAACCCAATCTAGAATAATTGAAAAGTTACAATCTTGCCCGTTTTTTGTGCACCTCTCTGTATATAAAGATGAATGTTTGTCGGTATGTCCTTTATAGAATCTTGAAACGGCTTGACCAATTTCACAAATTCTTTTTCTGTTGTATGTGTTATTGTCAGGAGAAGGTTATCATGGGAGAAAAAAAAAAGGAATTCAAGATGGGGGATCCAATATGGCGGACGAATTCTGTAACTATAATCCGATTCTATTCAAAGTTGGTATTTGGGGGTTTTTGGGGTCGGAGGATACGATTCGTTTGTCAAAATTGGAAAATTCAAGATGGTGGATCCAATATCGCGGACGACTTTTGTAATTCTGTTCAAAATTGGTATCTGGTTGTTTTCAGGTTCGGAGATTTCGATTTTTTCGTCAAATTTTGGAAATTCATGATGGCATATCCAATACGGCATACGAGTTTATTGCTTATGATCTGATTTTGTTCAAAATTGGTATCTGAGGGTTCCTCCGTCATTATTATAAAATTCAAGATGGCGGAGTCAATATGTCGAACAGGCTTTGTAATAAATAGTGTTTCGAAAAATTAATGAAGCATGCTTTCATAGATAACCAAACTGAAAAAGAAGTAAAAAATAATTATTAGTTTCGAGAACTAAAGAGATAGATTACTGAACTGAAGCTAGTAATGAGTTCATTGAAGCATATAAAGATTACTGCAATTTCTCGGCTCCTTATATGTATGCTTCAAAATTTCGATAATCTAAGGTTGATTTGTTTTTTTCTTCTAAAAGTCGAATTTTTATTTGAGTGAAACCTTGAAAATGATGTTATTTTTTGTATAAAATCTGTGAGCTTCCTTAGATATTTCAGTCAAGAACCTCATAATATTTTTCTTTTGAAAAAATCGAGAAGAAACGTATGCTAAACAATGAAAAGTGGTCTGAAAAACCAATTAACCAGGTCTATTGAAAAGCAACTCTCATCGTTGATGAGTTGTGATGTGGTTTTGCAGTTTTTCCAGGTTTTCCTGTAAACTAATCGCTTGTTGAGTGGAATGTGATAACAAATTCTCTCACTTTAAAAATCAAAAGAAATTCAAGTAAAATGATTTCAAATGAAAAAAGAGAGAAGAAAGAATGAATCATCCTGTTTTCATTGATTTTCCCAAATGTATTCCATCTATCAAAAGAACACCATAATTCCTATCGATTACCGCCTTCGCAGTTGGAACGTTTCGTGATAGATGGCTCCACGTTACTCTCTTCTAGATTCAATAGCTGTTACGCATGAAACGTTTTCTTGTAGCGCTTTCGCCAAATTTGATATTCCGCGCATCCACCAGAACTTTGAGCGAATTCGCAACGTCCACAAATGCGCGGCCGCCAATATTTCAAGTGATTCGATTTGATTGAGCTTCGAACTCAATTTTATCATACGCCTTGGGAATTTAATTTTCTAGCGTAGATGCGTCATATTCAATCGTTTTATTCGTTGATTGTGTATACGGTTTTTTCGAAATGAAACTGGACTTATTTATATAGAGTGTTTCAGATATAAATAATATGTTTGAATACATTTATGGACAGACAAGAATAATAATGTGGAAAAAAATTGAATCTTCCTGTCTTCATTGATTTCTCTTTATTCCTTCTAATCATCAAAAGTGCACCGTAAATCCTATCATGTGAAAAAAATTTGAACCTTCCTGTCTTCATTGATTTCCCAAATTTATTCCTTCTATCAAAAGAGCACCGTGAATCCTATCGATTGGCGCAGTCACAGTTGTTACGTTTCGTGGTAGATGGCTCCACGTCACTCTCGTCCAATTTCAAAAGTTATGTAGAACGTTTTCTTGTCGCGCTTTCGCCAAATGTTGATATGCTGCGCATTCGCCACAACTTTTAATGCATCCGCAAAGACCACGACTGCGCGTCCGCCAAAATTTTAAGTGATATATCGTACGCCTTGGGAATTTTCCAAATAATATGAGCGAACTCGACTTGTTCATCAAGAGTGTTTTAGATATAAATAAATTATTTGAACAAATGTATGGAAGTTGAAAAATCAATGTCTTCTGCAATCGGCTCAAAAGTCGGTACATTTTTGTTTCAGTATTAGCTCTTGAAGTTGACGTTTCATTTAGTAACACTATAAAATGATTAGTATGTATGTTGCTAGGTAACACTTTCAGTGTCTAGGTGTTAAAGTTGAGGTTTTATTTCTCGGAACTAAAAACGTGTCAGATGACATCTGATATATGATGGCTGCTTTGAAAATAGTAGTATTGTCACCTATATTTTATTAATTAGATATCAATTATTTCGATTGCAGTAAAAATAGCGTAAGTGTCACATTTGATCCCAACTAAACAATATATTATTTCTCTCTCTGAAAGTATGTCAAAGATGTTTTCTTACAAATTTGATACGTCTCTCGAGACTTTTATATTCATCTGAATGATATCTTTTATTTGCGGTGAAATGTTGAGCATCCACCAAATATTCAAAAGTGAATAATTTTCCACCAAATCTTCATACGTAAGTGATGAAAAATGGTAAAATGGCCAAAAATCGTTTGTCAATCCTGATTTCAAACAGCACGTAGTCTATCGAATCTTGATGTTCTAGAAGTGATTGCGAAAAATGTACAGTCATGAAAATTTTTTTGTCACTTCATTTTTTTCCGTCGGTGTGTGATATGAAATTATCCGTTTTACTGGGTGGGTCCCTGTTTTTCTTTCTCATTGCCCTAATTGAGTTTCATTATTCAGTTTTCATCATCAGTCGACGCTCGGCCCTAATTATAGAAATACGTTTCGGTGCCCTATTCACGAGGAATTCCGAATTTGTCGATTAATTAGAGTTGGTTATACATACTGGATGTCATAAAATTGATTGCCTTGATTGTTGATTAGATTATCTGCAAAATAATGTTGAAAATCTTGAAGTTTGTTATATTATTTAACTTTGTGAATTGGCCAATTTTTTTCAGAGATATTTTCATATCGAAATTAGCAACTTTTGATTTTTATCGGGAATAATATGCAACTTCCTCAACTCAGAATCCTCGTGAAATTTTACGTGCGATATTAGCAACTTTGCTATCGCTATAAATTGATGTGGGTGTTTATACCCTATATTATATTATATATTTGACAGAAAATCTAACCTCTAAAATAGTATCTGACAATCAGGCACTACTAGGCAAATAGAAAAGACTGTCCCAACTCTTATCTAACTACCATCCAGTGACTACCCAAAACCTGTCGAAATCTGTCAAAAAAATGCGTGAGACTAAATCTTTCTCTATGGGATGTTTCTTTGGTATTTTTTTAAATGCTCACTCATTTTTATTGAAAAATAAATTCTCAAACTAAAAAATTATTGGCATCCCTATCAAAATACTAACCTGAACGAGTGTCTCGTTTTACCTTTTGTTCTTCCAGGGTTGGAATAAGTCATGACTTTTATAAAAAAAGTCATCGAAGTCCGACTTTTTGAATTGAGTCAGACTTTCTTGAATTAATTCATTTAGAAAAAAAAATTCATTTACCCAAAGCGAAATAAAAAAAAAGAAACAAAAAAACTATGTTTTTATTCCCTTCAGAAATCTTGTAGGCTAACATCATACTATAACATGTAATTTTTCCAAAACAAAATTAAAAGCGATGATAGAATACAAAATAATAGATACATAATATATAGATCCAGTATCATCCATAAAGTTCGTAACACATGGAGAAAAAGTTTATTAGTAGAATATCGAAACATTTTTTCTCGGGGATCTACTTAAAAGTCGATTTTGACACATGTCACTTGATCACTGGTATGGCGGTAAATTAAAAAAATTACGATGGCAAAAAATGGGGTTAGATGGGAAGATGAAGTTATTTAAAAAAAATTGTAACAAAATTGAAGAATATTCGAAAAAATGTAGCTATTTCCAATTTTCCTCCAAAAATTGCTCGAAACTGAATGTGGAATAGCAACTTAATAAGAAATGTTGATGGATATTTTGTTATCAAACCCCACTCTTCCTCGCTTTATGGTATTATTTTTATTTATCACCATACCAGTGATCACGTGACATGTATCAAAATCGATTTTCAAGTTATCGGATATGCACAATGGATCGCCGAGAGAAGAAAATTTGATGCTGTGATAATGAACCTGTTCTCATATGTTATGGACTTTATGGATGATACTTGATACTGTATATATCTGTTAGTAAAAATCCTTGTCATGCTTGAAATAACAAAGTCTTGCCAACATACGATCGAATTTTTCAGTTTGAACTAGTTAAAATCAAAGGTAACAGTGCAATTTGTCTAATTCTTTAAAATTTGAATGAATTCATGACTTTTTCGAAAAAAGTCAATGGAATTAATTCACGAATTATGCCAACCCTGTGTTTTTCTAAAAATTCTTAACTGATTGTGGTATCCTTCGATGATGATTGTGAAAATCTCTTTGACGTTTGTGGAAAATTCATTCGAATACCACTCGCTCTCTACTTTCCGCGTTCTCTCGTAAATCTCAATCATGCAGCTATGCGAAACTAGCCGCTTTTTAATTAATGACTCTGCTTTTTTACCGAAGCGACACGATACACCCCCCTCCCCCCCCCCAGGGGGTGGTGGTGGAGGGAGATACTTTCCCCACGGGCGGATCGCACCCTTTGGCGGATGTTTTACAAGGTGTGGTCGGAAAGGGGTGCCGGCCAGAAGGGCGGACCCGTTAGGGGTGTTGGTTTTGTCATGGGGGTGGTGATAGGGGTAGGTGTCGTGTTTTCGCGTCGTTATAGGAGAAAGTCTCTTTTGATAATTAGTATACCGTGTCCAGTGACTGTCTCAGGGAGGGTTGGGATATATCTGTCCAAGGGGGTGCGGGATCGTTTTTAATCGAAAATGATAATTCTGTATTGGAAGTAATTACGATCACTCAGACATTGAACAATATCTTCATTATTATCGACTGAAATTTCAGTTTGAGGAATAGATTTTTATCACAATCCCTGAAACGGTTTCGATGTTTCCAGTTCGAAATAGTATATACTATTGGGGAAAGTGGCATATTTTGCACGAGTGAAAAATAGCACGAAGCCGCGTAGAGGCGAGTGCGGAAATGAAACGATGAAATTAACTTATTATTCGGTGAATATATCCTTTGAATTGAAAAGAAAGAAAAAAAAAAAATAGCGGAAAAAATCTTGATAAATGTGAGAGATAGATATATTATGACGAATGGCTTTTTATCATGAGTTAAGGATAATCTGTTTGGTGAGAGGAGAGATAGATTCATTGAGTTATTCGATTTGTTTTCATAAATTGATGATCTACTGTTTGGCTAAAAGGATTTTTTGAAGATTTTTCCCAAATAAACTTGCTGACATTCTCTTCAGATGGTCATCTAAATTATTATAAACATGAGGAACTCCGTAGGCGAAGGAAGATTCAAATCTCTTTGTTTGGTGTGAAGAAATATCAATATAATACTGTGCACGAATATTAACATTATGAAGGCGCCCGCGAATTCTCAATTTCTCATAAAGATTTCATCTAGTATTCGAACTGAATTATTTCGAATAAGTTGATTGAGATTGACATGAACATGTGGGTTATGTTTGTCAAGTAGCAAGTTTAGGTCAGTCAAGACAGTCAGTTCAATTCATGAAATGAGATTCTTGAAGGAGTAAATCCTCGAGTTAATCTTTATATTCCAGCTGCAAATAAATATGGTGAAATGCCACTTATTTCATGGAATTCAACTCATGCATCTTTGAGTGGCAGTAGAAATTACTTGAATTTCAAATGAAAATCACTTGAAAATAATTTGCAGTGGTGGCTCAAACTTTTACATCGGCCAAACAAGACATATTGTAGTCACTAGCATTAAAGAACACACGTTACCTGATTTGTTCCAATCTGATTACCAATATTTTCTTCCACTGTGACGAAAACACCTTTTTCCACCGGTGATTGTCAAAGGGCGACAAGGACTCTTTTTCTTTTTTCAAGCCCGTCAATGCGACGCCTGCTTTCGAACGGTGTAGGGACGCTTTTGAAGGACGACAGCGACGCCAAACTGAGCGTAAGGGATGCGGCCCTTTGTGTGTGCAAATGGGCGTGCAAATACAACTGGGCTTCTAGGTCATGGGAAGCCATGGAAAAAAAAACAAGCGAAAAAACAGCGATCGTCGGGAAATGTGTTTTTCTTCGCCAATTCCAAAATTGCATGCTTAAAAAATGATTGATGATGATGATGATGATGAAAATATATTGTTTCAGTTTTTCAACATCTATCGGAAAATAAATAATTTCTTTGGAATATCGAAAAACATTGAAGATGGCTGAAACTAGAACGAAACATACTAAAACACAGATGGAAACTTCGGGTTAAAATACATCCATTCATCATTTCGCAAACGAGAGCTGACAAAACGCAATTAGGGACACAAACGAATGTCGTGAGTATTGGTTAAACGGAGTCGGCCTTGAGAGGAAACTAATGCGAGTATCGCGACTCTTTGAACGAAAACAATGGAAGTTGAAGACTTCTTCGCAGCGGTTCGTTAACCTCGACAGTTTCCGTCCGTCTGACAAAGAAGATGATGAGAAGTAAGACAAGATGAAAGAAAAGAAGAGGAATATATAGTGTTGTTCCGGTGAATCGTCATCCATGATTCATGAACTTGCCTGAACTTGAAGGAAGCAATTTGAAGAGTGGGGATCATAACCTTGTAATCAGATTTATTTCGAATTTTTCTTGTTCAGATTTCCTGTTTTCTGATTCTAGTTTGTCTAGATGTTTGACAATCGAGGGTGTTTTTCTATTGAAATATTTGTGACTCCCAGGAAGGGTTGGCAAGCATTAATTCAGTGGTTTAATTCTTGAATTAATTTAATTGACTTGTTTATTTTGAAAATTCCTATGGTATCATGACAACCTGGCTATCATAGACAACTAACAAACGAGGAACGCCCAGAAAGGGAAAACTTTTTTAATGTGAATTCCTAATAAGTGATAAGTTGCATAATATGTCTTCATTATTCAGTTTGTTTTGCGAAAATTGTATGTTTTGGTATGGTCTTCTCAAGATTTTCGAAGAGAAAATAAAAACTTCATGTTGTGTTTTTAATTCTGTTTTGGTAAATGGAATTAGATTTTTTTCAAAGTGAATTGGTTAAATAAAGACGTATTATTTCATTCGTAAGGCATTCTCATCTACCTTTCACATTCATTCATTCTCCGTTTTAGTTTTCACTGTAAAATGTCGTAGGCTTGTGTGACATCTCGTAAGCAAGGTAGTGTTATTATTTTTTCTGCTAATGTGGATTTTTCCCCCAGTTGTTGAGTTGTGAATAAAATCTAAATGTTGCATAGACCCTCCAACACCTTGAATCCAAGGTGGAATGCAAGTTTACATGAACTTTTTCATTTTTACCAGTTCTATCGCCTGTCGAATTTTGTCCGACTAACATCTGAAACCACCTGTATATACAAATACCACATTTCAAGCGCAAAACGGACATTCAAATTTCCGGCAGGAAAAAAGGGGGACCGGTCAGTTGGACCACGAGTACCTGTATTAATCCTTTTTTGAAAAAGGTCGAGTTAAGCCTACCCTGCAGTTCGACCAGGTTGAAATTGTATTTTCTAATCGATTTACCTAATAAAATTCTTCCAGTAACATTCAAACGGTCTTTCCTTAAACTGTGGTTCTAGTAAGCATAATTATCCTTCATAAGTATCTAGTTAATTCAGTTTGTTAAATAAGTGTAACTGCAACAAAAAAAAATTGCATAAGGAAGGAGACTACTTTTTCTGAACATTCTAACCTTGCTCGGCCTAAATGAACCTCCTTCCTAGGAAATATTTTTCTGAATATTACTTGAGAGAGCAAAAAAGGCTATACTTTTTCAAAACAATCTAACCCAACTCGGACTAAATAATCCTTCCTAAAAAGTATATTCTTCGATGAATTGCTCGAGGGAACAAGGAATACTACTTCTTCTAAACAATCTAACCTAACTCAGCCTGAATCAACCTTTTCCATTTTTGGACCCTCATGAAGTAGGAAACTTTTTTTCTGAAGAAATTCATTCAATAATGCCCAGTAATCCAAGTCTATCGAAATTTTGCGATTAAATCGTGGAAACTTATATCGATGAAGGAAGTAATTTTCCCCCAAGTATGTGGGCTTGTACTACAGATAGTATGTACAGGACCACAAACGCGTGTGAATCATTTCATTCTCATTTTAATTCTAGTTTTTATAGTTCTCACCCAAGTTTGTTTAATTTTGTAAATATTTCAATGAACTTTCAAGCAGAAACAAATATTAATATAATATCCGTAAGATGTTCCTTCAAGAAACTAAAAGTGCAACACAGAAAAAAAAGATTTTATCAAAGCTAGGATATCAGAATAAAGAAATGGCCTTTTATCACAAAAAGATTTTGTAAAAAGTATGTATCATTATAATTCACCTTAATAATGAATAACATTATTTCAAGAAAATAGTGATTGTTTTAATTCTTAGAATACAACCTTAATCCGCTCGAAGAACGGTCGTGGTCCAACTGATCGGTGTACTTAAAACAGGTACCTGTCCCGTGGTCGAACTGTCCGACTCCCGAAAAAAGAAGTTCTCGGCCACTCTTAAATGGCCCGACATTCGACGGGAAAGCATCCATCATTTTCCTCTCAACTGGCGACGGCTAAACACCCCTTTTACCTTCATTCTACCCCCCCCCTCTCTCAGACCACACCCCCAACGAAAGCCGATACGGCCCTTTCAGCCGTTAAAGTGTCTGGTGCGAATGGCAAAAAGCATTTCCAAGTTGGTGAAACCGCACTTTGACGTTTTCTCATGCACTGGGCGATTCCTAAGCAATGTTCTAGTTCTTTTTTTTTTTAAATTGACTCGGCCGTTCCTTCATGGAACTCATAGTAAACTAAACAGATCTGTAAAAGTGCACTTATCGTGCGATGGTGTTTTTTTTTCGAAAAATGTTTTTGGTACTCACGTATTTTTGGCTGAAAAACACTAATTTGATAATGACAAACCCTATTTCTCGGGATATTTCATGAAAACTTTGAAAATTTCGCCTTCTTTTCCCCCTGTGTTGGATGCATTTACAGCTACTTTCTCTTCTTATTTTGTCATTGGACACTTTATATACTTATGATGTACTTCAATGACACATTTTTATATGGAAAATTCAACATAAAATGTGATTTTTATGGCGAGTGTTTCATATTTAGTGAACCATCATACCAGATGACGGCCATTTAATCAATAGTCAATCCAAATACAACATGTCAAATGTCAACAGATTGCTTTTGAATGACATTACACACGACATTATTTCAAATATTCTTCCTAAATGTGGATAAATCGCAAGAAAATCATATTTCTAGTTCTCATATAATAGACAAAAATTTAAAAAATTCCTGAAAATTGCAAAAAATTCCTGAAAATTGCAAAAATTGAAAAATTTCTGAAAATTGCAAAAATTTCGAAAATTCCTGAAAATTGCAAAAATTGTAAAAATTCATGAAAATTGCAAGAATTGCAAAAATTCCTGAAAATTGAAATAATTGAAAAAATTTCAAAAATTCCTGAAAATTGCAAAAATTTAAAAAATTCCTGAAAATTGCAAAAATTCCTGAAAATTGCAAAAATTGCAAAAATTCCTGAAAATTGCAAAAATTTCAAAAATTCCTGAAAATTATGAAAATTCATGAAAATTGCAAGAATTGCAAAAATTCCTGAAAATTGCAAAAATTGCAAAAATTTCAAAAATTCCTGAAAATTGCGAAAATTCCTGAAAATTGCAAAAATTGCAAAAATTTCAAAAATTCCTTAAAATTGCAAAAATTGAAAAATTCCTGAAAATTGCAAAAATTGCAAAAATTTGAAAAATTCCTGAAAATTGCGAAAATTGCAAAAATTCCTGAAAATTGCAAAAATTTCTAAAATTTCTGAAAATTTTGTAAATTCATGAAAATTGCAAGAATTTCAAAAATTCCTGAAAATTGAAAAAATTTCAAAAAATTCCTGAAAATTGCAAAAATTTCAAAAATTCCTGAAAATTGCAAAAATTCAAAAAACTCCTGAAAATTGCAAAAATTCAAAAAATTCCTGAAAATTGCAAAAATTCCTGAAAATTGCTAAAATTGCAAAAATTCCTGAAAATTGCAAAAATTGCAAAAATTCATGAAAATTGCAATTGCAAAAATTCATGAAAATTGCAATTGCAAAAATTCCTGTAAATTGCAATAATTGCAAAGATTTCAAAAATTCCTGAAAATTGAAAAAATTCAAAAAAATTCCTGAAAATTGCAAAAATTTCAAAAATTCTTGATAATTGCAAAAATCGCAAAAATGCCTGAAAATTGCAAAAATCGCAAAAATTCCTGAAAATTGCAAAAATCGCAAAAATTCCTGAAAATTGCAAAAATCGCAAAAATTGCTGAAAATTGCAAAAATCGCAAAAATTCCTGAAAATTGCAAAAATCGCAAAATTCCTGGAAATTGCAAAAATCGCAAAAATT